AAAGTTGTAGGGGGTGGAAGGAGGCTGAGCTTGGCTTAAGCCGGTCCTGTGGGAGTCGTCGGGGGAACTGGCTGCGAGGGAGGGACGAACAGTGAAAGATGGGACCCGGGTGAAAGTGCGAATGGGTGGAGCTGTGAGTCTCGCCTACCCCCTTCCTCCCACCTACCCTCCCCTCCCAACCAGCAATGAGCAGTCGCGTTTCTCAGCCCCCTCAGCCCCGGCAAGCAGCAACAGCAGCAGCAGCAGGAGCAGCAGTATTCTCCTGTGGCGACTTGTGCTCGCAGCCAGATCAGCAAATTCCACTGAGCATTACTTGCGCACGGTTATCTCCGCCTGCCGACCGCATCTCCCAAGACAATTTTTCCGCCCTTCACCGCCTCACGGCTGCGAGAAAGCGGAGAAGGACCTTGGAGACTGTTCAACTGATTTTTTCGATCAGTGTCTGGAGACTGCTGCCGCGCGACATCGCCACGGACAGAGAATCGCTCACTCCACCGCCACAGGGATCTCCCTGAAGACTTCACACAGTGCGCTTGACCTTAACAGTTCTCCCAGTGCCGTCAAGGGAGAAGTCTCGAGAAGATCGGTCTGAGCAAGTGCAGTCCCGTTGGGCAGCCGACAGGTCTCTCTTGGGTACGTGCTGCGGAATCACACGCTCGACTTACCCCCGGGGGAGATCAGAAGGGTCAGGAGTAAAAGTAAGTCCACCACTTCTGCGTACTCTGCGGGTTAGTCATGAAGACTAGGCACTTTGAATAATTTGGACGAAATTGACTGTTTTCGGGCGACTAACGTCTGAGAGATAATAACCACATCTTCCGTTGTCACAGAGCGCCTTCCAAGTTTTCTCGAATGCGACTCGCCTTCACTGGGCTTTTATTCAACCGCCGACAACCCGGGCAAGGAAGAAGGTGAAACAGGGTTGGGCAAATTTGCGTTCTTCTGCGGGACTCCTGGATGACTGTTTCCTTAGCAGTTAAACGCAGTTCATTCAAATCCACGCTTTTTGCACATATATGTTCCACCATCAGTAGGTCAGGGCGGGGAAAAGTTTCGTCTTTGAACCTTCCACAACTTCCCCGAGCAAAACACGAAGTAACATATAATTGGACAGTTTGCGCCCTGAATTCTGAAATCCTCAGAT